GGGTTGATATTTAACCACATATGCTAATTTTGTTATTTTCCTAATTATTAAATTTTTTTTTTGTTATTCTTACAATTGACCCTATAATTTCCATCAAATATTGAGATTGGAGGAAATTTAAGTTAACTCCAGAGAAATTAAAATAAAAAAATTATAAACGTAAAATTGGCCCTACCTTGGGTCTTGCTTAGTTGGATTTGACTTTTGATGGCCAAATAATTTAACATGAAGGCTTAATCTTAATTAGTTGGTCTGGTCCGATGATTGAAGGATTTAACTATAATTAATCGGAAAAAAACACTTTTTAGCATGTAAATTTTAAATAAGTTCATAACAGCAATGAAATGTAGTGTGATAGTAATAATATAACCGGTTTAACAGTAAAGCCGGGTTAGTTATATCGAACCACGTGTAGACTTTGACACTATCAATCAAATTGTTAGATCTCATAGGGAAACAGCTTGGCCGTATAGTTCGAATCTTGGTTTGGTTTGACCATTTTATTAATTCTGTATTTCAATTAGTGTGGTTAATTAAGAGAAAGAAATTACAGGATATGTTTAAGAAAACACTATTAATCTTTAAACTTCAAAGTGATTGTATGTGATTTGTGAGTGTTAAATTTTAACATGTAAAGTTCTTTGTCCTATCATGGAAAGAGGTTAAGAGTTAATAGCAACAAAAATATTATAAACGCTTTTTTGTTAACATGAAATATAGGGTTGTTATAAAAGAACATGGTTTTAATTTCAAAAAACTCAATAGTGAAACTAGCTGCCGACAGATTGCGACTACAAACACATAAGACAGTGTATACAACATAGAAAAGGTAGTTAAAATAGTTATTTTCTTTTTCGAAAGAGACACGAGTCATTGACTTAGAGAATTGAGAGTATTATTGTATTTGAGTTGAGAATTGAGAGTATTATTGTAAGAGTTGGTATCTCTAAATGTAATCACGAATAGCAAATAAATACGATTTAGTGGGTAAACTGTAACAATCAAACCTACAATAACAATACAATTATTCAAAAAATTAAAATAGCTAGATGCTTGTATATTATTTAGGAAATTAAAACAAATATGTAATGCATCTAAACTAATCCAAGCCTATAATAAACACATTCTTTAATTTGTTCTTTTGACAACACTTCTACTTTTTAACGTAAGTTTCCGTCGGTGCCGATATTATATATTTATGCTATTTATTAATTATGAATTAATGTCAATGTTGTAATTGTATAAATTGTCCGATTTAGTGGAGCCTTGTAGGCCATCGAATAAATTTGAATTAGTAATGCCCCGTATCGACCGACGAATATTTGTACACCCC